AAGTCTTTCAAATTATCTCCTGCCGAAACCCGGGATTGAGCCAGGGACCTTCAGATCTTCAGTCTGACGCTCTCCCACCTGAGCTATTTCGGCATACAGCTTAAAACGTGTATTCATGTTCTTCAGGCGTTTTCGATCATCCACCTAGTTCTTATTCAACTTAACTTTACAATTTTTTCAGGGTTATACATTTAGCACCATTAAAAATTTGGAAATTCAATACTAAATAACATTAAATTCGTTTCTAACCGCATTTTCGACATTGAATGCTGTGTCGTTGCAATTGCCGAAGGTTTTTCGCATAACCGTTAACGGATGCCAAGGCTTGATATGCTATTACCAAAGCAAGTATTTAGGAAGTTTATGATTTTTATCAGAAAAATGTAAATATTTAAAAAAGACGAAGCGTCTTTATTAAAAACAGCAGAGATAAAATAATAAGATGAAATTTAAATACTTCGCGGACAAATGCAAATTTTTCGCGCTTATTACTAATCATGTTTCGCAAATAGTGTCAAATAATTCAAAAGAGGAAGTAAAATAACGTTTCTACACTCAATCCAGTTGTTGAATTTCTACTCTCAATCCAGTTGGTCTCAGTTGTGATCTATCTGGTTAATGAAATTGCTTAGTGCTCACTGATCCAGACGTTAGATGCATGGTTCAGTAAGTAACATATTATATAGTTCAGTATTTATTGGGTCAGTTAATTATATCATTCGGTGGCTCAATCTAGTTAAATAAGTATGGCTACGTGCTTTGTAACCAAGCCTTAAAGTGCCTATGTCACTCGTTGGATCTTTAAGATGCAAGCAACTCAACTGTCTGCGGTTCCTGAGTCCCAACCTCCTGGGTTTAAACACGGCTATCTAATTTGAAACTGCCCATTGTTTACAGGAGCCTGAGACTCAGGACCTGCAGGTAGTTTAGAGACTAGTATCTTCAAAATTGTCGCACTAAATCAAAAAACTTTTCTAATATATTGACTAACTTTTTACATTCTTTTCAAATGCATAAAGATTCCACGAGTGATATAGGCAACATAAAGCGTTCCAAAGACATGTTCTGTAATCGGCGTCGCGTTTGTAGGTCACACGAACCTCTGTTCCTTTTACTACGTTCATCTTAACAAGAAGCGAGAAGTCTGTAGAATTTTTTAAATATTTCATGCATGTTTAAAAAAAAACTGAAAGAAGGAAGAATCAGGACAGTTTAAACTTTTCATTCAAATGACAGTGACACAGCTTTGCTTTGCAGACTTAGTTCTTCACACTTCTCGAGTTAGCGTGTCTCTTCCGACTATATTGCTTTCATACTCATAGAAACCCAACAAATAACAATGATAATATCTTCTTTTTTGCTGCGCCGTTCGAACACAACAATTATGACTTAAGACAACTAACAACTTATAATAAATTAAGATATGCCATGCTTCTAAACCGCAACGCCTTTCTCCATAATGATCCTTAATGGGTCGTGAATGTAATCGTAGTGTGGTTATTACATTCATTAGTTATAGCTAATATATAAACCAGAGCGGAGATAAATGTGATTAATTATAAATACATATGTGTTGCTGTGAAATAATAAACTTCAATTTGGTATAATGGTTGAATAAAGCGTTTTAATGACACTTGATGTGCCATGCAACTCGGACGAATTGCTCATTGTGAGTGAGAATGTAATAAAAGCTTCACTTATCTACTAAATACCAGTCTTCTGTGTCAATTACTAAAATGTATATAAAGCAAAGAAATACAAAAATAACACTTCATCAATTTATTTTCGATTAAAATTACGAACAAAAATGCATGCAAAACTATAATTAAACAACAAAAAAGCTCATCCTTATCACGTTTTCTTCAATGTTTATTTACGCTTCTGAAAAAAATGAAAAAAGAAAAATTAGATTGAGATCATTTTGGGACAACAATCGTTATACTAGCTTTACTTTGTTTTGTAGAATTCTAGGAGAAATGAACAATCATTCTTGTTCTAGCGGCCCTATAGCGTTTTAGATAGTACATATGACTGATAACGTACTGTTTCATTGCTGAACCTGATGTATGACCATTCTATTCCAATTAGCACAATCATTAAGACCAGGCATAACTGCACCCCACACACTTAAACACTGATTATATTGTACTGATTTAAGGTGACCATCGTCGGTAATTTGCCACTGTAGTGGGTTATAAGAACATGGTTGGAGAACAACTTGTTTGTTATATGAGGTTATAACATTAAAGCATCTCCCACTTGCCAAATCTTGTATGGCATTTGTCGATGGAAGAAATTGAAACAAACATGGAGCGGAAGGTGTTGCCGTCGAGAAACTTAAGGAATTTCCAAAGCTGCACAGATAACCATATTGCTCGTGTCTTACCGTGAACTTTGCGAAAGCTAGAAAGGATTTTCATAATGAAAAAATATCTGTCACATGTAAAGCACTTTTGGATATTATTTATTTTTGCACTGGTTTAAATTAAATGAAATTGCTGCGAAACAGTGCATATATAAACATATATTGTTATTGGGACTTAAATCTTTCTTCAGCCATATTTTATTTTAACAAGAGTTTTTATAGAGAGCGGTAGGATTTCAGATACTCAGTCCGCCAGACTAATTTTATTTTGGAACCGGGCCGAACTGAGTATGGGAATAAACACCCTACCAGTTATCGTTCTAGCAATCGCCCTGAGCTCAAATCGAACTTTAATTTTAAGTCCCTAATTCACTTTTTTTGCAGACCACATTTTTCTGGAAATGACTAGCTGCCTTACTGTGAAAGACTTAAAATACTGAAAATAGTTGGTGGGATAATGTAATAGAGTTTGATGCATGTAATTTATGCAATAACTGACCAAATTCGGCTGCATTCAGGAGAACGAAAGCCAGAAAAAGAGCAAATTTCAAAGAAGCCATTGTCGTTTCAACTTTCCTTTTCAGCTGTTATTCTACAATAAATTTTAACACACAGATCAATAATAAACTCGTTACTTAATCACGATTCAACGTTAAGTGGGTAGAAATTTTCCAAATGTACTTTTATCTCTATATTACAAATCATTATTCAAGTTGATATGCAAGGACCTCCATTACCATTTCCACTGGCGATAATTTTCAGCAAAGAGAAACGTAATTCTGCACGCACTTCGGCTCGTGTATACACAACCGATTGGTACTACCTGTATTTTTGCCAAATAAAACAGACAGTTTCCAAACTGTCGCATCTTAAGTAAATGTATTTATGCTGCAAACCATAACAGAGAACAACACAAAATCACAAAAAACAAAGGTTAAACGTCAAATGCTACCTTTCGAATATTTATTGAGTGGTTTCAGTCGACTCTAAAACTTTTGTAATGGCATATATCTTTAGTCTTTTAAAATTCAAATCACACTTTGAAAAACATTTTTCAAGTTAAACCAATGGTTTCACCCCCTTTATCCATAGTGAATAGTTATCACGTTTCATTTTGCACCCTTCAGACAGAATGAAGATGATTGTGTGATAAAGTCGAAAATTCAGTCCTAATCTGTGTCTTGTTTGAATTATATTTTGATCCTCAAAATTTCTTGTTGATTCGGAATTTGCCTTTACTTTGAAATCTTTGGTTTCAGCAATAATAGGGACTGCAGACATGCAGCTTCAACTATTATATGACTTCATTTAAAGTGCACATGCAACCATTTCAAATTTGGTGTTTTTATGAAGTTTAGACCATGTGTAAATAGATGTTAAATTTTTTTCCTTAAAAAAAGTGAAAGAAACAGAACTTTTTTACAGTCAAAGTTGCCTGATTGGGAAAAATTTCCGCGACTCTGTAAGAGTCTGGGGCGAGGCACGTATGACGTCATTTAAGGAAGGCGTATTAAACTGACACGTAAAGTCAATATCAATGTTATGTAAATTGGGGCAACAAAATTTCCATTTTTTGCGGCAAAATTGAGTAAAATATAAAAAATATGTCAGCATCCGATTCTGATTCAAGCACAGCGTCAAGAGAGGTCGACTCTGACATGTAAAGACGAGAATTTGATTTAGAAGACGACGAACATTCATTGGCAGATAATATGAATGCGAGCGTTAGTGTAAACACGAACGATGGCGATTTTGAGGCGTACGGAAACGAACCACTGGCAGACGAAGCCTGGTTACAAAACTACGCAAGGGAAACGGAACAAGAAAGACGACAAATCGAAGAATATACACAGAGATTGCAAAGCGAAGTACCTGTTAATTCATGGTAAATATTCTATGAAATAACAATGAGTGTTTTGAAACCACCAAAGTCAATCGCTATTACTGTAAATTTAGAACTTGTAAAAAAGCTGACTGTATGTTTTTAATTGGTAGGTGCAATTGTGGAAATTGCAATGTGGATTTGTTAACAAATCCTAAGGAGTGTAAATGCTGTCACGAAATCGCGGACTGTTTGATAGAAATGCAAGACGAAGTGGTTGTTAGCCAATTAGGGAAGCAGCCAAACTGCATCACAGACCATCCGGGTTTTAATGCCGTTTGTCTCAATCGATGGTCATTACAATTATCGGCGAGCCAATACCAAACGCGAGATGGAATAAGATATCGTAAAAAAGCCTTGGAGGGAAGGTACTGTATGTTCTTAATTAAATGTGCTTTTCAATGGTTACTGTTAGAGAAAAATTGCAATCACTAGCATAGTGTGTACATCCAACTTGGCTCAACAAAGAGAGTGCATTTTATAAATCAGTGGCATTATTTTGAATCCTGTAGATTTTTCCGTGTTGTTGCCTATCGGCAATTTACAAGAATGGTCCATGGCATTCTCCATGACAAAAGGATTCCACTGCCAGCATGTGCCTACCATGCAATCCGATCAACTTTCCCTGTAGCAAAAAATGAACACTTTGAAGGTTATCAAGAGGGTGATTTGTAATATATGTACGGTACGAATTGTAATATATAAATGTAATATAATATAGCAATGGTCAATGTATATAATATAGGTTTTTCCCTATGTACTATTGCTTTGTGTTTTATTTCTTGGGCAGTTTGTTACATTTTTGTGTCCATCCATATGATTTTTGCACAGACTGCAACGAGGTTTTGCTCTCTTTTTTGGACGAGAATTTTCTGGAGTTGTCACAACCTCCTCAACTATTGGAAAATATAGAAATTAGTAGGTGAACTGGTAGCTGCATGTGTGTTGTTACCTCATAAAAATTCAAACAAAAACATTTACCAAAAGAACAGTGGATTACTACCTGGATTAGTTGGTGGAACATTCAATGTTGTCATACTTTGTCGTCTTGCCTTTTTCAAAATAGCATCAACTTTAGATTGTTTTTCCAGCATGGTATTCATTGGCAAAGGTGTCATCTGTTTGATATCATTTCTGGCTTTGTCCAGCTTGTCTTCTTGAATTGCAGAGAGCATCACTTGATATATATCTTCAATATATTCTATGAAGTATAATTAGTAGACAATTCTTTTAAAATAAATTCATAACTTCACTAATTCAGAAAAGACACAATTTCATCAAGCCATTGTACCATTTTAAAGTGGCAAAGTAACAAACAGTATGACACTACCAAATAGCAACAATGTTCATACTGCCGCCAGCAGCATTTGTCTTACCAAAATTCTGAGCAACTTTTACATTTCGAACAACAGCTTCACCGTTTTTGAATTTTGGGTAATGAACTTTAACTTGGGTAGTACCATTCTTTTCACAATTCTCTCGATCTAAATTACTATTGAAATGCACCACAGCAAGGACATGCCTAAAAGAAAGACCAATATTTCAACCCATGGAAGCAGACACAAGACTTAAAGATGACAAGGTGTAACACAGTGATATGATGTCTGTCGTTATTATACACTGAGTATGATAATTAACATCAGTTCTCATTTGGGCAAATAACATACCTACAAAACATTCCAGGGAAAGAGTAGCTGATCATTTTGGGTGAGAACTGGTTGACAACAGAGTGAAACCCTTCTAATGAACTAGTTTGAGACAATGGGGAAGCTTTCATAATTCCTGCAACAACCTGGGCTTGGTTAAGGCCATACATCTTGTTGTATGCCACAGAATCTGATAAAGAATACAAAAATAACAAATTGTTGGACTGCTGTGGTCCTATACTACCAGATAAACCCTTCTCCAACGAACTCCTAACCTTCATTTAGCCATTTTCGTGTTGGATGGTGGAGTCATGGGCACATTTATCAAAGAGAGGATCAGAGAACCCGCTGTGTTTGTTCTTTACGTGACCAAGAAAAGATTTGAACTTTGCCACAATAACTTTGCCATTGCCAGAAAGTGTTGTTGTAGCGCTCCAATATAAATGATTACAGCATGGTTTGATCCATTCGAGAATTGACTCACATCCAGCATATTTAGCAATTTTTGCCAATACTTTAGTCACTTCTACATTAAGATAAAAATAACAATAACTATTGCTGAACCTATCTATTATGCTATATTTATGAAAACAAATGCTCATAAATGCATCTTCAGTGTGAAAGCATAACCCACAAGTACTGCACTGTATACTGTGAAAGAATTAACGACAAGGACACATAAATTAATGTAGATCAATTATACTTTTTGTCAAGTGCCAAAGGTCAAAGTAGTGAGTAATGTTGGGACGTTTTTCTCTCATATGTTTGGCGATTTTTGAGTGTCTGTCTGTAATCAAGGTGGAAATAGGGATGTTTTGGGATTCAAGGAAGTCCATTGATCTCTGGAAACCCTCAAACTCCATGCCAGTACTGTTTCCAACTTCATTTCTCTAGAAAATAACATCAAACATTCTTTAATAACTAAATTCCAACTATTTGGCATGGTCAATTATAATATCACTGCAACCAAATTGCACACATCATACTATATTATCTATTCCAAAGCAATAGAACTCTCTCTATGTAATGAATTTATTATCACTGTACATACCTGTACAAGAGAAAAGTCAATAATTTTTGGTACAGTGCAGCAAAATGTTGTATATGCACAGTACTTTGCACTATGTCCCATTGAGTCATGCCTTCCATCCCCAGCAATTGTCAAAGAATTTTGGCAGGCCTTTAGTTCCTCCATTATTTTTGCTTGGTATTCTCTCCAGTAGATAAGCAATGCAGGATATAATTTTTCCTAAACACATTTTGAGCAATTGTTTTAAAATTTGCATATATTGATGGAACGTGAATGGCATCTGCCAGCATCATAATTACTGGAACATACCTGTACTAACTCAGTTTTAACACTTATCATAATTATCTTCATTTTATAACACTTTAATTTTTGTGACTTACACGTTGGTGAAGGAAGTATGTCCTCAATGAAATACATGATAAGCCCATGTGCTTCAATGCCCTGGTAACCTTGGTTGCAGAAGTTCCAGAAGTAAGTATGCCAAAGGACAACAACAAATTTCCTGCTGGAATTGAAGTCCCAGTCATAGGGGGTTGGCTATTCCATGTAGTATCCTTTTTGCCACATTTCAAGTTTGAACAAGTTACTTTTACTTGGGCCATTGTACCAACTTCCACAACATTTACTAGCACATCATCTGATTTGCAAGTTGAACAGAATTTAAATAGATGCAATAGCTGAGTAAGGAAAACTATAAATTTTGGCTCTGTTCTTAGATTGGAATCCTTGTTCAGTACCCTGAAAAAAGAGTATACTTTATGTAATTATAACTGGACTAAATTTATAAACAAATTTATAACGTACCTTGAGAGTAATGCGAATTACTCTCTACCTGATTACCACATACCAGTAACATTCACCATCTGCCATAAACAGTACAATATTTTACCTTTTATATGTTTTCTGGTACTCTGTATCTGAGTCCATGACACTGGTTAACGGTCCTTCTGCTTCGTCTGTCTCTGTTTCATAAATAAATTCATCCTCAAGATCACTTTCAGGTCCTGATTCTTCCCCAGGATCACTTGACTCAAATTTTTCATCACAATGCAGCTCATTCTCTGCCAATATGCTACTCATGGAGCCGATGGAGGCTGCATCATCCCTGTGATCGTCTAGAAATAATGTACAAATAAAAAATATTACAGATTAGTTTTGAAAAGTAACCTATAGTTACTGCTTTGTAATCACATAGTGCAACTCTTGTAAAATACTAGTTTCAGTGATACAGACATTACCTACTTTAGTTCCAAGAACAACACAAATTTCCCTCTTCCAAGCTACTTCTAAAAACAAAACAAACCTTTACTAACAATGTATACTTTTAGACTTTACCTACCTATTTCAGTTGAATTTAATTTGGAACTGTTTAATTCAGTCCTGCTAAGCTGGAGTTTATGCTTTGCTCCAAGCCACAGGTTCTTGTAATGACGAATCTCTTTCTGAAGGACAACACAATTTTTGCACTCCACAGCTACTTTCTATATCAGAAAAAAACAACTTAACAAACAATTATGTATGTTTTTTTTTCATCCTCTATGCATATACCTATACTGTTATACCAAATTTTGGCACTGTGACTGTGATATAACGCTCACAAAAGCGCATACTGTTCTTGCAACGTATTTTATATACTTATACAGTACCTTAACAGCTGGACCATTACTATCATCGGTAGTCAAATCATCATATTGATAATCCAACAAAGGCTCATCATTAGTTGGAGCTGCTTCTTTCATAAATTGCTGACTGTCTGTGTCTTGACTAGTTGACGGCAGATCAACAACACTGACAACATTAGCTGCTGGTAGCTCATCAGCCTTTTGACGAGACATCCACTTTCTTTTAATCTTAAAAAAATGCCATGCTTTTAGAAAAAAACGGTGTACATATAGTACAACAGAAATATAAATAATACTCACCATTCTCACATCTCTTGTAGTCAATTCCCTGTCAGTTTTTGCATGGATCGTTGGACACGCAACTATACCAATATCATCTCGAATCAAACGAGGTGAAAAGTGAATATCTGATTCGGAAAGCAAACTAAACTTGCGAGAAAACGATTCCGGTGTAAAGTGCTCAGAGCATACAGCAGAATTCTTTGTGGCAACCCACTTGTCACGAGTAGCACAAACGAAATTGATCCATCGCTTTCTCCTGCGCTTAGCTTCGCTTCTTTCGTCATTAAAAAAAGGAATTCGGTGTAACGAAATTCCTTTATCCAAGTTTGCAAGGTTAGAGCAACCAAAAACCACACATCTGTCTGGCATTTTAATGCTTTCTTTCGTGAAAATACTGTTTACAGTTGTTTACAGTATATTTGTGACTCGCCAAAGACAAACCTTCCTTAAATGACGTCACAACTCGGTTTCAGGCTATAAACGCAAGTCCTCGGCTTTTCATTCGCAGCATGCAAATTTTGCGGTTTTTTGACAACTTGGCAAGCGATATCTCAGAAACGAAAAGAGATATTAAGATTCTGTAAAATACTTTTTTACTTTTTTTTTTAAGATCTATTGATATACCTTAAATTTGAAATGGTTGCATGTGCACTTTAACAATGATGAGATGAAGTTATACGATAAAAATTATATGACAAATATACCGGTTATGTTTCACAAATTTAAAATGAATAGTGCTATAAGTAACGACATCTAGCAATATGTAATATGACATCACATGACGTGAACAACTGTAGAAGCTTGATTATTCTCTTATTCGTGCAGCAGAATGTCGCCATATTCAATGTTTTTTCATTCCTGTTCACATGCATATAGAAAATTTTAGCCCTCTTTATTCACACCGGGGCTTGTATTAAAATATTTAATATCTTGCGTAAGATTTATTTTCTATAATTAAGTATATGAATGTAGGCTTGATATTCAAGTAGCGCTCTCAAATCCTAAGATTACCTACGTAGAACTATGCTCCTATGACGGCGTGTAAATTAACGTTCGTGCATTAGTAAAAGATTTTTGAATAAGAAAATAACATTCTATCATACCTGAAATATCTTCAACGTTTGCGGTTACTGGTTCCAATGTCGTCGCAAGCTAATAAAATCCGTGAACAAATCACTTACTTTTATATGCTCACTCTAATTATCATAAACAGGCTCGTAGGAATTGTATTCAAATTTGCATTGATTAAGATAAGTGGGTTTTTTTAAGAAACACTAACGCCTGTATTCTAAAAGCTCACTCACACTCAAACTCATTGAGTGGGAGATCTTAATCTTCTCATAACCTTTCCAAGGCGGTATTTCCAGCTTAATAGGGGCTTGATTTACAGTGATTTACCTTATATCTTTCCATCTATTCAGAGAAAACTTTCTCATTGATCAGCATTAACAAAATTTATATGTCACACTCAATGAGTGTGAGTGTGAGTGAGCTTTTTGAATACAGGCCTAAGTGTTTTTTTTTTTTAAACACTCAGGCCCCTCTCCGAATTACATGCATGGAAACGTCCCTCCCGCGGACTTTTGTCCTTGTACCTAATCATTTACATCAGCAAAATTTTCCCCCCGTTGATTGCATGCAAACTATTCGTGATCTTTGAATGAATTCGATTATCTCGCCTTGCACGAGCAACCGTATCGTGTGGTTGCGAAATAATTAAGTACACGTATGAGATTTGAAGTAGTCGTATATGCTTCGTTGCCTCTATAAATTATATGACTTTCCATCATTATAAAAGAGGAAACAATAATTGTTCGTATACTCAATTATCAACATGAGCAAAATTTTCCTCCAGTTAATTGCGCTTTCCACGAGCAACCGTATTGTGTTGTTGTTGAGTATACTCTCATGCAGCAGGGTAATCTTTTCATCATTTCCTGATGATTATATACATGCATGTATGTATCAAAATTAATTTCTCTAATCTTCAGTATAAATATACAATTTATCAAGGTAATGTACCCATCATAAATCCCTTTAATGGCTGGAACTTATAGTCAGAAGCTGAGACTAAAACAATAAACTTCGCTCAGTTGTTGTGTGAAATATCAAACTTCCCTTTATATTAATAACATTATGCATAACAATCTGTCTTTAACAGCTAAACTATACTGACTATACATCGTATGCATTTGGCTGCAATGTCGGTGTTTGCAATTATTATGCATCTAACCAATCACAAAATGTAGTCTGCCAGATTTATATCTGGTTCCAAAGGGATTTATGTTGGGTTACATAACCTTGAGAAGTTATATATTTACAGTGAAGATTAAAGAAATTTGATACATACATACATCTCTATAATCATTTAGGATGTGAGGAAAAAATTATATATAGCTCTATTCCTCTTTTATAATGGGAGTTAATATAAGCTGCTTAATTGGCTTTCAAATTTTCTGTTGAATGCAAATGCGTATGTGTTACGTTCGAGCACTTCGAATAGCTAATTTTCACTAGATGAAATGCGCCTATAGTGTCAAAACAGAACATTAGACATTAGACATTGCTATGAAGAATTTTGCTTCCGAATGTACTACCCGCATATGCATATTAAGTAGGCATAAATCACATCAGGAGAAAATTCCGAGCAATAATGCGGCGGCGATGTCAATTTTGTATATCGATAGAGATGGTTACGGTGGCTCACAAGGGCCACCCATATAAATACGTAAATACCAATCCACAAAAATTCAAAACACAATTTAAATAGTTCGAAAGGCACTTTACATGTTTTCAAACGCACTTTAAATATGTGCCAACACACTTTAAAAATTTTTAAACGCACTTTAAGTTTTCCAACACACTTTAAATTTTCTAACACACTTTAAATTTTCTAACACACTTTAAATTTTCTAACACACTTAAAGTTTTCCAACACACTTTAAATTTTCTAACACACTTTAATTACACGCGGGCTCATCGCATAATTACGCGCATGCGCAAGTCAAGGTTACTTTATTTTCTTTTTTATCCTGTCGTGCGCGGTGCGTTTTTTCACTCAATTTAATTGAACTTAAAAGCTTACAGGAAAGCAAGGAGTCGAAGATATAAGCAGTACATGATTGATAATTATGAGTTGTGCAGGGTTAATTTAATGTGATATTTTATAGGTACTGTTATAATGCAATCAATTTATTGTGGATAATGTTTTGATAATGCAATAGTTATGTTTGCGAAACTGACCCTTGTCCTTTCCTTACACTGATCTTAGCCCTAACCATAACCCCAAACCTCAACCTCCCAAATTTCTTTTCCCACCAATACAAATGAGCCTAAAAAAATTCAAATTCAAACAGCAGCTACTGTACTGGTCCTACTGATGTCCACTAAACTACAGTCTCATGTACAGGTAATGCCAGTACATGAAAAAAGGGTATTTTTTGGCACCTCTCTTGGTTATAACAAAGTATACTGTTTAAATATATATATATATATATATATATATATATATATATATATATATATATATATATATATATAAACCTTTTATATATATAAACCTGTTAACCTTTTACTAGTGTTAAAGTGCATGTGTACGGCAAAACATTTTCAGATAAACTGTTTTCTGATTACAATGACAAGACATTGTGCGGTAGCGACTTTATACAAGGCCCGAAAAATTTTTTGTCCTATACGTGATCAATAGAACTTGTTAAGGAAAAAGTGGCAAGGAAAAAAGTTCCCCCGCACGCAGCTACCGGATTTTATTGTGTACAGACATTGGCCTTATTGTATGGCTGCTACAGTGGAATGACTAGGATTTTAGTAATAGCGAAAGCAGTACTGAGAAAATTGCTTTGATAGGGTCAGATATTTGACTCCCTTTCTATATGCGTTGATACTTATTCCGCACTGCCTTATAGCTTCACGCAGCGAGCATTTTTAAATTAATAACTTGTTAATAACAGAATTTCAACCGAGTACCTACTGCGAGTAATGAAACTAATAGTGGATTGATGACAGTTTTTGCAATTATATTTAATGAGATAATGCGCTCTGATTTCCTGACTTTTGCGGATTCAATCCGCAAAAGTTGCTTTTTCCAGGCCGTGCGGGTCGTCATGATAGAAGTATTTGGCATGCTTTGAGGCTTCGCCACCATATTAACGTTAATCGTCACGTCGTAGCGAAAATACTGATGAAAGAGATTGGGGGTTGTCCTATGCGCATTCCGTACAGACTGTGGAACTGAAAACGTTCTTATGTGCTATGCAGTGCTATCTAAGGTCAGATGGTAATGATGAATGGGCTGGGGAAAAAGCTCATGCATATAGTTCATCTCCAGACAATAGAGGCTTGGTGGTCATATTTACGACGAAACAGGTCAGGCTGGTGGATTTAGAAGAACAACAGTTGCTCCATATGGGTATCCACGGTTAAAATAATTAACAATAAGATCCGTAGTCTCTTTCTCCGATACACATTTCTCACAGTACGTTTCTGCATCAACCGCAGCATTGCCGCACCCTGCACAACTCATAATTATCAATCATGTACTGCTTGTATCTTCGACTCCTTGCTTTCCTGCGAGCTTTTAAGTTCAATTAAATTGAGTGAAAAAACGCACCGCGCACGACAGGATAAAAAAGAAAATAAAGTAACCTTGACTTGCGCGTAATTATGCGATGAGCCCGCATGTAATTAAAGTGCGTTCAAAAATTTAAAGTGTGTTGGAAAACGTAAAGTGTGTTTGAACATATTTAAAGTGCGTTTCAGAAACTTAAAGTGTGTTGGAAAACTTAAAGTGTGTTAGGAAATTTAAAGTGTGTTAGAAAATTTAAAGTGTGTTAGAAAATTTAAAGTGTGTTGGAAAATTTAAAGTGTGTTGGAAAACTTAAAGTGCGTTTAAAAATTTTTAAAGTGTGTTGGCACATATTTAAAGTGCGTTTGAAAACATGTAAAGTGCCTTTCGAACTATTTAAATTGTGTTTTGAATTTTTGTGCATTGGTATTTACGTATTTATATGGGTGGCCCTTGTGAGCCACCGTAGATGGTGGTCAAGTTGAAGATATCGGCGCAAAATCTCTTTTTAACAAGTGTAAATGTAAATAATTGCAAATAAACATGTTGTGAAACCAGTGCAAGCTGTGACATGTTTGTGATTAATTGTTTTTTTTTTGTCATACACTGCTTTAATTAGACTCATAGGTGAAAACCAGACACAGTACTAAAATGCGGTGCCCGCAATGCTTGCCTAGAAATAAAACGTCCACTCATTTCTAACGACATCACCAACTTACATTCTCCTGTCGGCCGCAGCCTGGTTGGTTGGTACATTAAGGTCAAAATTGCGCCGTTTTAAAATCTTCAAAAATAAAATATTTAGGCTAAAAATACTATCTAAA